TATAATATATTATACTAAAAAAATAAGGACAGGTGAATTTATTCCTTTGAAAAATAAAGTTTTGCATTCATTTTTTTGTCAATTATTTAAGGCTTCATAATAAGTACCTGCCGCTTCCAGAAGCTGTTACAGAGACGCATTGCTGGTGACTCACTGCCATCGATGTTGATAATCTTTCGAAAATGACACGTCCTGTTTCTGCAGAGAATAAAAAAAAAATAAGAAACTTTAATCAAAACTGTATATTTCTGATCCCCCAAGGGCAAGACTTATATTCATAGGTCAATTTCTCTCTATTAATATTATTATATTTGCTAAACAGGATTTGTGTTCTGGGTGTATTTAAACGTCCATTGAATCATTACCTCATATAAACACCAGGTGGCGCCATAGTGACACCAAACCGAAAGGCAGCAGCCTGAAACTCAGGTGAGATCCCAGGGTCAACAAACTTCTGGTAACCTGCAGACAGGAAAACATAAAGTAAAGCACATTTTCCCAGCAGGCAGATTCCAGGACTGATAACAGCAAACATCAGCAGCAGACAGAGAAAAGTCAGAAAGGAACTGGGATCCTGTGACTATTGTCTCTCTAACTTTCTTCAGCCGTGGCTGCTTACTCAGCAGAACAGGGAGAGTCGGGCTAATGCTTTGCTGACGGAGCACATACTTGTCAAACACCACAACCAGCAGCTCACCTCATCACAGATTGTGGTCAGTGGTGCATTACCTGATACCCTCCACTTGTACGCTGGCCTGCCTGGCTGTTTCTTACCTGGATAAGGGGGAAGTTTTTGGTCTCCAAGGAATACTGGCAGCCATTCATAGACGGCAATGTTCTGCAAAGAAACATGCAGATAAACTGAACATCACCAACATAGAACCACCATGACTTTATGATTCCTGGCTTTATTTTTCCACAGGAAATATGATCACTTAACAAGCATAATCGTCGATGCACTTTACTGGAATTTAAATCGATAGAATAATCAAAAATAGACCATAGAGGAATGTTTCTACAGTTTATTTTTACGTGAGACTTCTTTTCTGTTTAATGTTATTTTCTATCAGCTGATCTTGCTTTTTAATTTTAATTTTCAAGTGAAATTATAATAAACATTAAAATGAATCTTATTGAAGGTAACCCTATTCCAACATACACACATAACTGAAACTGACAAAGATGTTTCTTTTTTACTACTGACAGAATTAAGATAAATTCTATATTTTTTCCAGACGGCAGCAAAGCAAACCATGTGTTTTACTCTTTGATGCCTTTTGCTGTGAAGAAGCAGGAAACTGTTTGTATTGCACAGTCAAGCTAGCATGTGCCTGCAACATTTCTAAACATTAATTCATTTTCATCTTTTTTTTTTTTTTTACAGTGTCCTATTTGGCGATGCTGCAGTAAGAATTTTACTAGCCCAACGGATTTTACTTTCACAAGTGGAGCAGTACAGCTATCGCCATATTGCTCCATTTGTTTCATGCATATAAATTGCTTTATTCTAATTATGCAGGGAGTTTTACAGATTATATGGACACTGGAATGTAAAAAGAACAGAGGAGGAAAGAAAAAAAAGAGAAACGATGAAACAAAGAGGAGATAGAAAGGAAAAACATTTTCAGTCTGCTTCATCACCTGCAACGAGAAGTAAAAAGAACAGCACAGCCAAAAGACATGGAGGAGACATACAATAGAGTAACACCTTGATACTATCGCTGAAGTAGTATTATTTAATCTGACATGTACTCTGTGTTACCTGAAGATAAGAATATGGGCTTTCTGTATGGAAGTGAATCTCAGTGTGTCTCTCTTTCTCTTAAGAAAAAGAGAGACTCACTGAGCTGAGATATTTCTGTATCATTGCACCCCTTTTTTTTAGAAAAAACACTACGTTGTGCACTCAAAAAATGTTCTCTTATGCAGGATTAAAAGGAAAGAGCTGTCGTTGATTGAAAGTAATGAGAGGAAAGAAACAGAAAGCTGTTAGGGGCTGCAAACAACTAGCCTCGTGAGACCATCCTGATCTCGCGAGCTTTCAAGGTTTCACTCGC